GTAATTTGTATTTCCAAGTTTGTGTTCATCCTTTGACAACTAAAGGGGTATCTACAGAGAAAATGTCACCTCTCAAACCGAAGACCCAATTTGGGCCTGGGAGTCCTGGCGAGCTGCAAACGGCAGCTGTCAAGCCACATTGTGGCCTAGGGACCTAGGTGTCCCTGAAGATGGAGGAAGGCTCAAAGGCCGCATGCTTGGGCCGGCCCTGTGGCGTAGCAGTTAAGTGTGCGCACTCCGCTGCCGGCGGCCCGGGTTCGGATCCTGGGTGCACACCGAGGCACCGCTTGTCCAGCCATGCTGTGGCAGCGTCCCACATAAAGTGGAGGAAGACTGGCACAGATGTTAGCCCAGGGCCAGTCTTCCTCAGCAAAAAGAGGATTGGCATGGATGTTAGCTCAGAGCTGATCTTCCTCACCAAAAAAAAAAAAAAGAAAGACGGCATGCTTCCTGCTTACTGAGAAAGACGACAGGAAGGGCTTTTCTCATCAAAATGTTACTCGGTGAAAACTTCATTTGGAGGAAATGAGGGAGTAACTAGAAAATAAAAGAGAAAAATCATTATTGCATGGGACCAAAAACCAGCAACACAGACTCCACAGCAGAGAGCTAGCACTGAGCTCGCTCCCATTACAATCTGACACTGCACGTGCTCGCCATGTCTTCTTTAATTGTTGCAACACTGAGCTGTTTTCTCTGATCATTCGAGGAATACATGGAGGCTCAGAGAGGTCACATAACTTGTCCAGTCACTGAGCCATTAAGGATTTGTGCCAGGATATGAACCAGGCTTCCTCGACTCTAACAATCTACATTGTTAACCATCACAGTGTTGTGACATCCAAAGCAATATACAATTTGTATATTTGTATCTATAAATTTACATACATACATAATGTATGTTTCTGTAGCATAAATTCATTTTTTAAAAAGATAACATTGAGCATATGCCTAGAAACTTGGAATAGTCACATGATTCTGGGGGGTGATAGGATTACAGGTGACTTTTATTTTCTTCTTTATGTCTTACTCATACTTTCTAAATGTTTAAGTTGGAACATAAATTTGTAATCAGAATCAAGTTTTTTTGATTTTGAGGAACAAAAAGGATTGGACCAATTTTTAAAATACCTACTCCAAAAAAAGTTGAAGAAGCGATTACTCCTGTCCCTAGTAATACACTCTCATGTGACTGCCGATTCTATGGAAAAGCAAAAGCACATATTTAACAAATACCACAGTTTTACCCAGTAAGGATAATTAAACAAAGAAAAACTCCAGAAGAAATGATACAAAATTGTGGACCCTCTGGGCCTCGCAATACTCACGTAACTTGCGTTTCCGTTGATGATGTTGAATGCTGTAGTGTAGGTGTAGAAGGAAACCTGCAGAGAGACAGAGGCAAACAGGTCACATTTTGGTTCCAAGCAAACAAAACTGAGTAATCGTGAAATAGAAATAATTGTTACCTGAGGTAAAATCATGGACTTCAGACTTTTTACTGACAGCAGTGACAGAAATACCTTAAAAAAAAAAAATAGAGTACAGTTATAAGTGTTTTAGGGGAGGGAGAGCTTGAACGAGCAAAGAACTTCCTAGGGGAGATGCAGAGCCGAGCCCCCGGAGTTGGGACAAGGAGAGGAAGGTGTGGACGCAGGGGGGCTACTGCTCAGTGGACATGTGACGCTGAATAAGCACCTACTGGGCACTGGGACGCTGGGAGCCTGACAGTGGTCCCTGTCTCCAAGACCTGCAGTCGAGCAGGGCAGCTGAGAAGTAGGCACTTTCCAGGGGTTGCAGACACAGGGCAGGTGTGGGAGAAGTAACTGACAGCTGATGTCACTTTGTGAGAGCACCTCGGGAGAGCCAAGGAGGGATAGCCTCGCTGGGAGACAACTCCAGGTCCCAGGTGAGGGCCCATATCAGGGGGAGGGCTTGGGGAGAGGAGGTGACGGACAATTACGTGGGCTGGTGGCAGGGAGCACGTCTTAACTCATCAATCTCCTCTGTAGTCCTTTGTGCACAGCAGGTAGTCAAAGAGAGGATTACCCTGTGACACTGTGGACCTTCAAGAGGCCTGGGTGCCGGATGGGGTTAAGTGGGGGGTGGGGAACTATATGAACAGCAGACATGGGTCAGAGGTGGGGGTCCATAAGCATCTATCAGGCAGTCATGGGACAGAGGTCCAGAGCCGGAGGACACAAGCCACCGAGGTTAGGAGACGGGTGGATATCTTCCTAAACCCCCAGTGTCATAACTTCGAGTGGCAGCTTACTCACCATGGGCGCCGTGAAAGGCAGGAGAGCTGGCAAAGAAGAGAAGAGGTCAGTGAGTGCAGCTGCTGAGGCAAAGAGAGGCTGGAAAGGGGCAGCGCCCACCCAAAAACCTCTTCTCCAGCCTCCTGAAGGCACAGACATCAAAGGACATTTTTTAGTCATTCTTTTCTTCCTAATAAAAATAATAACTATGTGCATGTGGCAAAGATTTAAATCAGCACAGTATAGGGAGACCTGACAAGGCTCCCTCCAGCCTTCCCAGTCCTTCTCACTGAAGGTAAGTGGTCGCTTGTTCATCCTTCCACATGAATTTAATACATCTGGGATACTGTGATTTATAATAAGAAATACAGACGCCGCATAACGACGTTTCGGTCAATGGCAGACTGCGTAGACAATGGTGGTCCCATAAGATTAGTACCATATAGCCTAGGTGTGTAGTAGGCTATACTATCTATGTTCATGTAAGTACACTCTCTGATGTTCACACAAGATGAAATCACCCAACAAGGCATTTCTCATAATGTACTCCCATCATTAAGTGACATATGACAGTATATGTTTGCTCTTTGTCCCTCTTCCCAGCATAGAGATCCGAAAACCTTGGGAATTTACTAAGTGAGAAGAGTGATAAACGTGAAATGAGTGTCTTTTGTTATTTATAACAAGCCCCTTTCAACCACACCTGAGATAATGTTAATAAGATGACTTTCAGAAAGCCCCTGAGGATGAGGGCTGGTTGCCAGGGGAACCAACTAGGTGATTAGGGCATTAGAACTTTCAGCCCCCGCCCCCCCAACCCCAACCTCCAATGGAGGTGAGAGGGGCTGGAGGTTGGGCTAATCACCCATGGCCAGTGATTTAATCAACCATGCCTAGGGGCCGGCCCCATGGCTTAGCAGTTAAGTGCGAGCGCTCCGCTACTGGTGGCCCGGGTGGATCCCGGGCGCGCACCGACGCACCGCTTGTCCGGCCATGCTGAGGCCACGTCCCACATACAGCAACTAGAAGGATGTGCAGCTATGACATACAACTATCTACTGGGGCTTTGGGGGAATAAAAAGGAGGATTGGCAATAGACGTTAGCTCAGAGCCGGTCTTCCTCAGCAAAAAGAGGAGGATTAGCGTGGATGTTAGCTCAGGGCTGATCTTCTTCTCACACACACAAAAATAATCATCATCAACCACGCCTACTAACAAAGCCTCCATTTAAAAATGCTAACTGGGAGGGTTTGGAGAGCTTCTGGCTTGGTGAGCACTGGAGGTGCTGGGAGGGTGGCATGCCTGGAGAGAGCGTGTCACAGAATTGATGGGTGTGGGAAAAAGCCCACACATCTGGTGTCAGAAGTGAAGTATTGAGAGCACAGTGTTGAGAGGAGAAATACGAGTGTTTTTCTTTCACAACATCTATCAGGATCTACGCAAATTCTCCCACTCTTTCTCATATACACACAGCACTTATTTATACAAAAGAACCACTATACACTGTTTATACTTCATTTTTTTCTCCTTAATACTAGTTCCTGAAGATCCATTCATTCACATTAGCACATAGGATTTATTTATTTATTTATTTTGTGAGGAGATCAGCCCTATGCTAACATCTGCCAACCCTCCTCTTTTTCTGTTGAGGAAGACTGGCCCTGGGCTAACATCCGTGCCCATCTTCCTCCACTTTATATGGGACGCTGCCACAGCATGGCTTGCCAAGCAGTGCGTCAGTGCGCGCCCGGGATCCGAACCGGCGAACCCCAGGCCGCCGCAGCGGAGCGAGCGCACTTAACGGCTTGCGCCACCGGGCCTGCCCCTTATCTCATTTTTTTTAATGAATTATTTAATTACAGTCTGAACTGCTGGATCTTTATGTTGTTTCCAGTTTCTTGTTTATAATATACAGAGAATTTGATAGTTGGAAGGATCCTATACGATCACGGATTTTATTCCCCTCATCGTAGTTAAGATATGAGAGAGAGACAATACTAATGGAATCCCTAATTCTAGCACTTATGAACCATCAAGGAAATAATCAGTTATGTTCTTTGGGGCATGATGGGGCAGGGCAGGATTCACCCCCAGGCCTGTCCCCTCACTCCCAAAGTCCAGGTCTTTCCACAGGACTGGACACAGCTCTGGGCCCCCAACCTGCCCTTCTCCACTATTAACCCTAAGCCCTTCAAATATTCTTTTTAAGTCTTTTAAAAAGACTCATCGTCAGAAATCCTTCTAGGAAAAACCAAAAATTAAAATAAGGCAGGCAGAGTTTTGCAAATGTTACAAACCACATCTTCCCAACCCACTTCTGAAAATGAGAATCAACTCACCTGCAGGTCGAAAAGGAACGGGGATCAGTTTGCTGCTGTCAGGATGCACTGTGGACTTCAAAAGGGTAAACACAAAGGTTGGTTTGATGTTTGGTTTTGTTATTTTAAGAGACTAAGAATTAGGAAGGGGCTGAAACTTACGAGACTTCTCTTCCAAGCTTCTTGTATCTAAAAAGAGAAAAAAAAAAGCAATAGCTTTTAAAGGTGGTCTGGCAGCAAATGAAATCTGCTCTCCAGTCTCATTTCTGGCGCTGCCTTTGCTCTGCCTTTCAGAGAGTGAAGGCAGAACTGTTTAACACCACATGGACAGAACAAATCAAAATAAATGAATCAAATGAACAAATGAACTAACAAGCAAAGAGATGATCCACATAAAGAAAATGACCAGAACATTAAAAAGTCCTAAGTCTCTGACCTTGAAGAGGACTCAAGGCCAACACCCAATGTGACCCTCAGGTGAGTCCCTGGATCCAGCCTGTCCCTGGCTCAGAGCAGAACAGGCTTCGTGCAGACGACACACCACACCATTAGCCAAGTCACTTGCAACAGAGCCAGTCTGTCAGCCCAAAGGCCCCAGACAAGTTCTTAGAAAAATCAAATTAAATATACGAGCTTTCCACAGGCTGCCTCACGGGACTGATCTTGGGCTCCGGCAAGCCCCATACACTGCAAGATGGAAAACAAATACTTGGTTTGAGTCTTTGGGCAGGTTGTAACCCTGGCGGCATGCTGCCTCTAATGGGAAATCGATTCTGACTTGGCAGGCCTGCCTGAATTCTGGAGTTTTCAACGGGGCTCAAGGAACCAGCTACAGAGAATCCCCCCTAATATCCACTGCACAGGAGGAACCCCAAGCTTTTTTCTCCTTAATACTAGTTCCTCCTACTAGTATCTAATACTCATCTGGTTTATGAGAAGGAATTCTAACATATTTAAAAAACTAACCCAGGTTTAAAAAGCGGATCCCCGGGGCAGTGTTTACGACGAAAAATTTTCCACCTGATTTCAGACCACGCACGCAGAATCACCTGAAGGCAACCATACCCAGCCTTCAACCAGGCACACTTGAGCACATGAGACATACCCCTTGGTCCTCCAAGTCGTGTACGGATGCATCTTGATTTGTTAACAATAGTTGCCTTGATTTTTCTATTTTTTCCTATAATCAGATATAAAGAAATCAAGCCATGATGTCAATAGTGTTCAGGTTTATCCACAGATTTAAGAATCACTTGTTCATTCACACCTGATTTCAATGCAACATGTAGCCAAGGTTCTCTACGCCCTGAGAGTTGCCGTTAGGATAGTCCCATGTGTCCTTCAGATTCAGAGCCCTGGCTTCTTAGATCCAGCAGCTGACCCACTGGCGCTGCCATCTGCCCCCATTCCTCTCTGATGTCCACTGTCTCAGTGAACCACACCACTGTTCGCCTGGTTGTGCCAGCAGAAACCTGGAAGTCCCTGCTCTCACCCCCACATCTAATCAGCTCAGCCTTATTTCTTCCTTTTTACTTAATTTGAGAAAAAAAAATTAAATACAGAAAATACAAAGAATGATTACATACTCATAATCCCCTCACCCAGAGTTAACAGTAAACATTCAGTTATATTTGCTTCTAATTTTTTTTCCAAAAACAGCCATCAACCCCAGTCTCATTTCCCTTCCCCTTCTGTCAGAGGGGACCACTACGAGTTCAAGGTATAAACTTTCCGTCCATTTTTTATACTTATACATACATGAATACATGTATCCATAAACAAATATGTAGTATTGGTTTTTTATGTTGTAATTTGCATAAATGCTGTATATATGCATCTTTCCTTTCCACCACACATCACAGATATGTTTTTCCACTTATCATATGTGTCGTATGTTTCCACTTAATATGTTGATAACTAGATCATCACCTTTTTTTTTTTTGGTGAGGAAGATTAGCCCTGAGCTAACATCTGTTGCCAATCCTCCTCTTTTTGCCGAGGAAGATTGGCCCTGGGTTAACATCTGTGCCCATCTTCCTCTACTTTATATGTGGGACGCCTACCACAGCAGGGCTTGACAAGTGGTGCATAGGTCCCCACCCGGGATCCGAACCTGCGAACCCTGGGCCGCCAAAGCAGAGCACGTGAACTTAACTACTACACCACTGGGCCGGCCCCTAGATCATCACTTTTAACAGCTAATTAGTATTCCACTGTATGAATATCCCATGTACTATTTCTCTATTTCCCTGCCAATGTGCATTCAGGTTGTTTCTTGTTTTTCTCTATTATAAACAAAGCTATGTGGAACATCTTGAGCACAAGGATGGCGTGTCCCTTTGGGTCTGGCCCTGAGGGTCATTGCCGGTGACAGGGGATCTCTTCCTCTTCATCCCTCAGCGACACTTGGTTCAAACCCTCATCTTTCACTTGGACAGCTAAGCATCCCCTGAACTGATCACCTTGCCTACAGTCGGGTCCCCTCTGGCTACTCCCCACATGGCCACCAAAGAGACCCTCTGAAACACTAACCTCACCACCAGCCCTATAGGCTGAGTGCAAACCCCACTCGTCTGAATGGCACACAAGGCCTTTTAAGAACTGCCTGGTTCCCCCCATGAAAAGCCCCAGTGACTGGGCGACCTGCTCTCCCACCCTGGGATGGCGTATACAGGCATACCTCAGAGATATTGCAGGTTCATTTCCAGACTACTGCAATAAAGCGAGTCATACAAATTTTTTGGCTTCTCAGTGCATATAAAAAGTTATGTTTACACTATACTGTAGTCTATTAAGTGTGCAAAAGCATTATGTCTAAAAAAACAATGTACACACCTTAATTAAAAAATATTTTACTGGGGCCGGCCCGGTGGCAGAGCGATTAAGTTCATGCGCTCCACTTCATCGGCCCAGGGTTCCCCGGTTCGGGTGCTGAGTGTGAACCTACTCACCACTCATCAAGCCATGCTGAGGTGGCGTCCCACATAGAGCAACTAGAAGGATGTACAACTCTGACATGCAACTATCTACTGGGGCTTTGGGGAGAAAAAAAAAGATAAAAAGGAGAAAGATTGGCAACAGTTGTTAGCTCAGGGCCACTCTTTCTCAAAAAAACAAAAACAAACAAACAAACAAACAAAATATGTTATTGCTAAAAAATGCTAACCATCGTCTAAGCCTTTAGCAAGTCATAATCTTTTTGCTGGTGGAGGGTCTTGTAAAAAATGCAGTATCTGCGAAGCGCAATAAAGCGAAGTACAATAAAACGAGATACTAGTTCCCTCTCCCTGTCGTGTCCTCACTGCCCCCTCCCTCTCTGCCTTCCCTCAACACCCTCCCCGACAGAGGGAAGCGTTTCCTCTGTTCCTGGTTCCTGCTACTCCCACCCTTAGAGGTCTAGGTCAAGGTCTGTGACGAGCTTTGCCCATCAGTCTTCCATTACCAGGGGGGTTCTGATCCCCTGTGATCACCAGCACCTGGCCCGGGGCTTGATGTTACCTCTAAAATGGATTTCTTCTTTTATGTATCACCCTTCCAATCTAACAAGCTCATTCAGAAGGAATAAAAACATGATATATGGATTCTGTTATTTCAACTGCTTTCCAAAGGGACACGCAGTCTTCACGTTTCAGAATAAGATGTAAATTCATTATCTTTGAAAACAAGAACATACTTACAACTGAAAGGACCAAATTTGTAGGATCCAATAATTCCATCCACTGAAGAAACCTTTGAACAAAAGACTTAAGAGAGGGAAAAGCACCAGAGATTAACGGCAGCAGAAAAACAAAGATTATGTTAATAATAACAGGTAACATTTTTTCTGAGAACCTAATAGGGCCCTGTACTGTGATCTGCCTTCCACCTGCAGCATCTCCTGGAATCCTTACAACATCCCCATTTTACAGGTGAGGAAACTGAGGCTTAGAAGGGCTCATGAATGTACTCAAGGAAACTCAGACAGGAAATGACTCAGCAACCTGTGCTCTTAAACCACTCCAACATCAAATTGCTCTTGAGGGTGAAAAGCCTAGACTTTGGGGTCAAAAGGGCCTACGTTCACTTCGCACATATGACCTTGAAGCAACTACCTAGAAAGGTCTCAGAGTCTGTTTTTCACCCCCTTAGGGTTGGCGTAAGGCTTAACTCCAGTCGTAAAGGACGGGACATCCCAGCGAGGCCTCAATAAAGGCAGCTTGGTTCACATGTGGAGAAAGGTCTGGTTTGCTCCAAAAAGCCCCCAAAGTTGGCAGTGGCTCTGGCTGAAGCCTGGCTCTGTCAGGGCAAACGGAACTCCCCGGCCCTTCTCAACCTCGCCACCTAAAAACACCGGGCCAGGCCCTACTTTAGGTGAGGGCTGAAAGAGAACACTCCAGGACTGTGCTGTCTACTTAGCCACACGTGGCTAGGGAGCCCCTGAAATGTGGCCAGGCCAAATCGAGGTGTGCTCTATGTGTAAAACAGACACCAGATTTCGAAGACTTCCTACACAAAAGGATGTAAAATGTCTCATTAATAATTTTGTATATTGACTACATGTTGAAATGTTAGTATTTTGCATCTGTTAGGCTAAATACGACTTATAATTAATTTCAGCTGTTTCTTTTTACCCTTTTTAATGAGGCTACTAGAAAGTTTTAAATTACTTATACGGCTCCCATCACATTTCTATTGGACACTGCCTGGGGCGGGGCTTGTTACTTCTTGTCCCCGGAGGCTTCCCACAGCCCCAAAGTCTCACTCTGAGCGGCTGAGCCTACCGAGGTTGGGAGGCTGGGGGCTCCTGGGAGGACCTCTGCCTCTTCAACCTGGTGCTCAGCAACAGCTTAGGCAGCAGAGTGCAGACACCTGCGAGGGGGGCACTGGCTCCTCAGGGCGATCTGCAGGGTGACCTTGTGACGACCCTCCCTAGGCAGGCCTGGGGCAGGGGTGACACACAGTAACCGCCTTGGCCGCCGAGATCCGGCAAGCTTGGGTTTCCCCTTCGTTCCCTCTCGGGGTCTGAGGTGGGAAGGCGGTGGTGCGACCACGTGGCCTGCCCAAGGTCACCTGGGCCAGCTGGCGACTCCACGCGGCGAGGCCCCACTCCCTCCCCGCCCCCAGCCGCGCGGCCCGGGCCGTACTTGGCGTTCGGTGATCCAGAAGCGCACGTTGGGCTCCATGCGGGCGGCGGCGCCGCTGCACCCGGGAGCCTCCCGGGCCCCGCGCCTCCTTCGCCTCCGCCTCCTTCTCCTTCTCCTCCTCCTCCCCCTCCTGCTTCTGCTCCTCTTTCAGGGACCTACGTGATGGCCGGACAGGTCGCCGCCCGGCCCGGCGCGGAGGAGGAGCCGGGCGGCGCGCCCCGCCCCGGGCGCGCGCGCGCCCCCTGTTCCCGCTCCCGGGCTCCCGCACGCCCGCTGCTCGGTCTCACCACCTGCCGGCCCGCCCGGTCCCGCGCGCCCACCCCCACGTCCCCGCGCACCCACTGTTCCACGGAGCCCACCTCTCCCGCAGACCGAGTCTTCCCAACCTTGCTCCGCCCCTAGGGGTAGCGCGGCCGCTTCCTCGCCCCGAGGGGTCACCTACCGGAACCCCCATATCTCGGTACCTACCGAGAACACCCGAAGCACAAGTGCGCCCAAGCTTTCGGACATTACCCTAGAAAATCCCTTCAATTGCCCTGCAAGTCAAGTCCAGTGTACACCGTATTGGGGATAGGACCGGTTACATAATTTTCGCCGCCCAGTGAAATATGAAAATGTGGCGCCGTTTATTAAAAAAAGATTAAGAATTTCAAAAAGTCAACATCAGAGCATTAAGCCAAACCCACGGCCCTTCTAAGTGCGGGGCCCTGCCGCAGCCGGTGAAGCCGGCCCTGCATATAGGGCACTATCTCTCAGCGCAACAGTCTCTCTCCAGCGCTGAGGAACAGCCGGTTCTTCTGTTAAATACCAGATCAAGTACGGTCCATTTGTAGAGAAAAAATAAGTCTTCGTTTCTCCTGCCACGCCAGGCCCAATGGTGTGGGTAGGGGTTATGTGTGTTAGTGGAAGCCAGTGTGGATGTTTGGGGTGTTCAGGGGGTCCTCAACAGTCTTGGGTGGGGAGCCAGTGCCACCAATTCTTAGTTGTATGACCCTAGTCAAGTCAATATCTCCAGGTCTACTTACTCACCTGTAAAATAAGGACAATAATTCTATCCATCTCAGAGGATCAAATGAGATAAAACACGTAAAAGCCCTAACAGGGCTGGGCCCATTGGAAGGGCTCAGTTTGGGCCACTAACACCCAGCTGGCCTCCTCCCTCCCTTGCCTTGCCTTCCCCTCCAGGAAGATGAAACCAGCTTGTGGTTTTCTTCAGGCCCATGTGACTTCAAAGGCTCCTTTTTGCTCAGCGCACCTGGCTCACTTTTCTACAGCCTTCAAGAGTTCTCCTCTTCCTCCAGGAAGCCTTCCCTGACACTCATAGCTGGGCGAGGTGCTCCTCCTGTGTTCCCCTTATGACCCAGGAATGCATGTATTGAACCATAGTATTTAGCACACCTGTATTATTCTGTTGGCTCTACCCTCAAGTATGTCACAAATCCAGCCCAGCTGACCTCTCTGCTTCCTCCCCGGACCCTTACAGTTTAGTCTTAACAAAGGAGTCAGAGTGATCTCTTCCAACAAGTTGATGTAACTCTTCTCAAAACCTTTCTGACATTTCCTAACTCAGAATAGAATCCCAAGTCCTCAGCTTGCCCATAAGGCACTCTGGGCTCCCCACTACCTTTCTCTTCTTCCCCGCTAGTCATATGGCCCTTCAATTCTTCATCCACCCCAAACCCACTCTTGCCTCAGGGCCTCTGCACTTGCCATGCCCTTTGCTTAGAAACTTATCCCCCTAACTCCCTCACTTTTTACATGTTTTATCTCATTTGATCCTCATCAAAACCCCGAGATTTAACATCAAAACCCCGATATTGCCCCCATTTAACAGATGAGAAAATAGACCTGGAGAGACTGACTCTTCCTTAAGGCTTTCCCCGACAACTCTATCTAGAACCTCTGCAACTCCCTGCTCTAGCCCCTTGCTCCACTTTATTGGAATGCTTCCAAACATTCTATATATATTTATTATATTGATTGTGTTTCCCCCTCTAGAATGTTAAGTGCATGCAGGAAGGGGGTTGTCTTTTTTTGTTCACTCATGTTCCTCCAAAACAGCACCTGGCACATGGTAGGCACTCAAGGATTTAGTGAAATCATGAACAAATGCTTCCAAATCTCTCTTGTCCCCTAAACTGAGTTCCTTGGGTGTGGAGCCAGCATCTTATTCATCTTTTGGGCTCCAAGTTACATGCTCAGTAAATGTTTGTTGATATAATCAGAAGGAAAACTAGAGCCCCACAACATAACCTGAACCAACAATGAATGGTGTTAAAATGCAAATATTTTAAAATATGTTTATTTATTATATACTTTGAGCACTTCAGAAAGGAAAATAACTACAATGATTTCAAAACGTAATACCTGGATTTAATAAATATCCTTCATAATTACACCCAATCAATATCTAGAAATGTATGTAGACATTAAGTCAGCTAACAAAATTAAGTAAAATAACTATATAAACTATAAATCTCAGGGATCGGGAACATGCATGATCAGTTAAGTCACTTTGCCACCGTGTTTTTTTAAAAACATGATTCACATTTGTTTCAATCACATATACATCCATTGCAAGAGTTAAATTAGACCGCTGATGCTAACAACTTAAAACTATGATCTTTGTTACCTTAAAAGAAAATTGTTTAAATCAAAGAAATTCAAGAAGAAAATTTCAGGACCCTTGATCAGAAGTTTTCAGTGTGTGTCATACTACTCTGTTGTACACAAAGGTTCAAGTAAGACTACGAAAGAAGAGTGTTTCCTTTTCCCAGTGAAGACATGATCTAAGAGACAGGTGAAATAAGCATTCTACATAAACTCGCTAGCCATCAATACGTTACCAGTAAAGGGCTCCTTATGTTAGTAACTAACCATGTTAAAAAGCCTTAGCCAATGTTACAAAAACAAAACATTTAGAGTATTATTTATGAATACAAGCATAATTGATTTTTTGCCTTCCATAAATAATAATCTTTGAAATGCTAAAAGTAGTTCCAACTGTGGTTCTTTTCTGCTGTGAGAAGCTTCAGGTACACATGGGATGACACACTAATTTACTTTCTCAAAGTATTCTTTGGAAGCGGTCGGATGTGGCTTGATCTGAAAATACAACAACATTTCATTGGGTAACAGACTTTATGACAACAGTCTCAAAAGAGAGTTGAAAGCTCTCGATTTTAACCTAAAGTTCTTTAACTTTTTAAAGATTGGGCTGTTTCTTTAAAAATACATGGATGAAAGTTACATTAACAGCCTGCCTGGTGCCTGGTCCCACCCCCACCCCCCACCCTTCAGCAGCTCCACCCACTGGCACACCATCTGCACCCTTGCTCCAAGGGTGGGCTCCTTTTGTGGATATTCCAAGCCAACAGCCCTTGAGGCAGTGAGGACCTGGGACCCTCTGTGGGGGTCCCATTGTTTTTGGAAAAGAAACCTACTGTAGGAGAATCCGGTGTCCAGTTTGCCGGGCAGACTTCTCCATGGGCTTCCACAAACTGGAATGCTTTCACCAAGCGGAGGGTCTCTTCCACGCTTCGGCCCACTGGGAGATCATTGACGCTCAAATGCTTGATGACTCCATTGGGGTCAATTATGAAGAGCCCTCTGCATAAGAATTTATCCTCATTAGTACCTCAACAGTACCAGAGCTAGACAGATGCTTAACTTCTCCCTCTTCTGTCTTTAATTCTCCTTAATAAAGCATTTATTAAGCACTATCATATGGTTAAAAATGGTGTTTTCCTTGTTGCACAAAAAGTTTATCATCTCTTACTGATGACAGATGCTTTAACAACGGCAGGACTGGACCAGGCCACCATGGAAAACAGGCAGTATGGTCACATTTACAAATGTGACCTGAATGTCACACAGTATCTGAAAGTCATTGAACTAGAGAGAGCAAAGGCTTCTTTACTTATTAGCATTCTTTAGGCTGCTGTATCAAATCTTGGCAAGAAACCATAAACAATAGGAAAGGACAGAGATGTATCTTAACTAAGTTCAGGAAATATGAAATAAGTGAATTCTTGGGTAAATGGGAAAAATCCCATGGGAAAATCTTTGTAGAAGAATGTACTAACCTCAGGTCTATGCAGAGCAGAAAGCTAAAGGACAAACCAAGCCCGTCACTCTTTATCACTTGGCAGCACTGTCCTGAGATGACTGGCCCTGTGGCCTGTGTTCATCTTCTGTACGAGTGTTGGTGTTACTATGACATATGCAGATATGTTCAACCCACAGGTTTTAACAGTCTGTCTTAAAAGGGTGTGGCTTTCCAAGTGTTAATCACTCAGGGAAAAGGTGAGTTAGAGAAAACTCACAAGGTAAAAAGGTGGTTCTCCCTCCTTGGGCCAGGCCCTTGGGGATCTAGACTTTGAGGCTTAACAGGTCCTGGTGCATGCTCCTGGAGAGTGGAGCCCAGCTGAGCCCATGGTGCAGATGCAGAGCTAGGATGGAGCAGGGCCCACGGACTCCAGAAAGCAAACCTCATCTTACAAGCCAGGCTCGCCTCCTCTCCCTTGTCAATCCCAATAGTGAAACCAGGAGGGAGGTAACCGCGAAATTAGCAAGACCCTACAGGGAAGGGGATCCTGGGGGGAAAAGCCGGCACTCCTTTTCTCCTTCTCTTGCCAGCTCTGTCAAAGCTAGACTTTAGTTTATTAAAGGAAGACAGTAATCTCCTTGAAGTCAAAAAGGCCCAAGCTCCAAGGTGGCTCCCAGAGCTAAAATTCCAGGGTGACCCAAGAAGAAAGCAGGCCAGAGGTCAGCTACAGGAGGGCAGCTGAGTGGCTTCAAGCCAGAACCCAGCAAAACTGTTAGGCACATCAAAGTGGGGTCCTCGCCGGCTTCCTGGAGGGCAAGTTCCGCCCAGGCCCTCCTTCACTCAGCAGCCAAGGTGCCAGTTCTGAGGCCTACACTCTCATCCCTCCCCGGAAGGTTGCATTTGAATATGGGACTGTTAAAGATGGAAAGCTTTCACACTCAAAGGAATAAAGGTTTAACCACAGAATGAATGAGGGCAGAAAATACATTCCAGGACACAACAGCTACCGAGACCCGCGCTAAAAACTTCAGCTGCCTCACCTTATTCAATCCTCACAACCAACCTGGGAGGTACATTCTCATTTTAGTTATGGGAAAACTCGGACTCAAAGAGGTTAAATAACTTGCCCAAAGTCATACAGCTACTAAGTAGCTGAGTTAAAAAAAAATAACAATAAAATAAAATCAAACTCCAATCTGATTCCAGGGCTTGTATGAGATCTTTACCATTCCAGGATACTGACTCCTACCTTGCTAGTCCCCCGCTTCTCCAAACACTCTGGCGGCTTCAGTGCCAGGAGTATGCCCCTCATACTCAGAGCCACAGAAGTGGCTCCCAGACAGCCAGGGAGAGTGGAGCAGTGTGACAATCAAGAAATGTTATCCTTCTTCGGAAACAGACCCAGGGTGGTTCAGGGGGAAAATATGTCTCAGCCATTTCTGAAAGACTGCCAACCCTTGTAGGAGGCATCCATTAATGCTTATTAAATGACTAAAATTAAGGATTTGGGGTTTTAAAAATGCTTTACCAAGGTCTCTATAAAACCCCTACGAAGTAGGATGATGCTAAACATGAACAATTTTAGGTTCATAAGAAACAAGATCTTACCTTAGTGCAAGACCGGGACCTTCTAAAAGCACACCGTAGTCTCGGGAAATTTGTTTAGTTAAATCTGACAAGAGTGGGATGTTCATGTGGCCCAAACCGCCATTCTAATAAAAACGCAAACATGATTGGCTGTTATACTGTGCGCTCTTGCAACATTCTCAGCTGGGATAGACAACGTTTGAGACCAACAATAACGGCAATAGGTGGCAGTAACTGAGCACCAACCATGCGCCAAGCACTGCTCTACGCTATTCCTATTAACTCACTTCCTCCTCCCAACCATCCTGAGGAGACAGCATTATCATCACCATTTTACAGATGAGGAAACTGAGGCACACGAAGGTTAAGTAACTTGCTCCAGGTCACAGGTAGAAAGCGGCAGAGGCAGGATTTAAACCCAGCTAATACTAGAGACCTTTCTTTTTCTAATTCTTAAAGGATTCTTCTAGTTGAAGATTAATTTTTGAAATACAAAAATGGAAGAGTAATAAAGAAATACTATGAATAATTTGATATTGATAGTCCAGCAGCATAGCTGAAAATTTTGATTCTCCTAAGCAAGTCTAGGCAAGAATCCTGATCACACAGAACAATGAAATCAGAGAACCTAACCACCATCCCACATGCCATGCAAGGTACATGGGATCTGCAGTGTACAGGTGAGCGGGGAGGCAATGACCCCAGCTGTTCCCCCTGCCCTGAGCCCGTTCTGTGTTACTGTCTGTACCTTGGAAAATACAAGCAGAGTGGGAAGTAAACACATGCAATGTCAAGAGAGATATGGACAGAGTTTAACAGAATTTGCCAGTAGCTTAGGACTTACAAATAGCCCATGTCAGACCAGCGATGCATTAACAACTTCTAGCTTGCTCTTTTACAGGATCATTTCCATTTTTAAGATTGTAAGTGCAAAGCCAAGATGAATGATGCTCATACCTTCCTTGGGGTATTTATCCAGGCGAGATGGCTGAAGTGAGAGTCCACTGAGACAGCGACAACTTCACAGTTCACGTCGTGAAACTCATTGGCTTTGTCACTAAAAGCAACAATCTCTGTCGGACACACAAAGGTGCTAGGAACAAAGGGCAGAAATTCTCATCAGAGAATGTAAAGACAAGGATTTAAAATTTGAACAGTAAGTAGTCTAAAAACTAGTTCAATTTTCTTGAAGGTAAAAAAGGCAAAATGGTTAACCATCCTCACTGGACTCCTGGTCACAATGATACTCCAGTGAAAAAAAAACATTTATCACCTTTCTATTTAAGAATTGTATCAAAAAATGAGAGTGAGCAGGGGGAGGTATATTCTAAGAATAAAAAAAATTATGTAAATAAAGTAGCTTTATGAGAAAATTCATTTTATTATCCTTACTTCTCTCATTTTCCCCTAGACCAGTGAAAATTTCCCCGTAGACTGGCTTACAGGAGCCACTGCTCCACAGCACATAAAACAGAGCCACGTTAACACCCTACCCCATGAAAAGGAATGCCATTCCACCCCTAAACTTATCACTTGTACATTAGCTACAGATGCAGGCTGTATTGACAAGGCCATCAGTGATAAAGGGTGACCAAGAACCCTGCTCTTGCCAAGAGAAACTAGAGGCAGGCAGTTGGGGGAAGCAGGGATCTTTGCTCACTCTCAAAATGACATTAAAGTGTTGTAGAAATTACACTTACAAATCCAAAGGATAGAAGAAGAGCACCAAATATTTCCCCTTAAAGTCATCAAGGCTTAGTTCTTTGAACTCTCCCTTGACAACGGCTGTCCCCGTAAAATAGGGTGCGTGCTGGGTGACGGCAGGGGCGTGGTATGAGGAACCTGAAGAAAAGAAACCACACGCATATATAGTTTATTTGCTAATCAAGCACCTATTTGATTTTATTTAAAATTCTCACAATAATTAATCAGTATAAATTAATTAAAAGGTTCAGTTCAACTGTACATCTTAGGTAACTTCTGTCTTTCCATAGTTCTAGATTGTACAGAAATTCAATTCAAAGTGCTTTGGAGACCAAAAAGAAGACAGAAGAGTGTAGGGATGGTATTAAGGAAGACATGAGACAAGAGGTGGGTTCTTCTTTTTTTTTTTTAATAATTTTATTCATTTATTTTTTCCCCAAAGCCCCAGTAGCTAGTTGTATGTCATAGCTGCAGATCCTTCTAGTTGCTGTATGTGGGACGCGGCCTCAGCGTGGCCAGAGAAGCGGTGCGTCGGTGCGCGCCCAGGATCCGAACCCGGGCTGCCAGTAGCGGAGCACGCACACTTAACTGCTAAGCCACAGGGCCGGCCCTAGAGGTGGGTTCTAAATGTGGTTCTGATTTTTCCAAGCCCAGGTAGGACAGGGCAAATGGCACAGAGGAAAGAACGGGGCAGGTGTGGACAACAGCCTGTGGCACAATTTGGTGAGAACAGAGAGAAGCGGTGTGTGTGGAAGGAAGAAGAGTGAGAGGCAAAGCAAGAATGGCTGAAGCCATGCTGGGAGGGCCCTTAAACATCAGGCTGACGGGCTTGTTCTTAAAAGAAGAGATAAAAATCACTGGAGGTTTTCATGGAGGAGACGGAAGATGAGTCAGCTGTTCTTAGGAAGATTAGTCGGGCAAGGGGGGGTGAGGGGAGCAGGAGGAGGGGAGACTGATGTTAGGAGGTGATTTCAGTTATCTAAGTGAGAGGTATGGAGGGGAGGGGTGTGGCAAGAGAAAATAGGAAGAAAGAAAAGGACGCAAGAGATGTGTCAGAACTGGAAAGGACTTGCCTCTACCTGGGAACATGGGACAAAGGAGATTAAGTGTCAAAATGCCTGGGCTTCAGAAACTTCAGGAGGAGCTGCTGGGAGCAGGAGTTTGGGACTGGTGACAAGGAAAGTTTTAAACCTGTGGCATCAAATCACTAGTAGAAAATTTTTTAAAGCCCCAGGGTAGTAAAATGTGAAACTTTTTAGAACATTTCACCCACAAACAAAGGCTTTGCTAAAGTATATCCCCCAAACCATTACATGTTAAATGCATGCTTTTTAAAAGGTGGGACAGATCTAAAGGAGGCATTTTCAAATACCATTTATCTGAGGCTGATCTTAGTAAAGTCCACATTCTAGAGAATGGAGTGTAAACTTCAAGAAATAGCTATGCTTCACTCAGATCACAGAGGAGTCCATCAGATTGGTCTAATGTGGCCAACTGGAGCCAGCACAGAGGTCTGAATCCAAAAGCCTTTGGAGGAGCTACACTGTCAGCTCCCAGTTATCTCACACCCCTTCACACACAGCAGCCCAGAAGGCATCTGAGACACACCCCCACACACCCCCCCCACTCCCTCCATGTTCCTCAACAGAGGATCAAAACCTCTGGCAACGAACAAGGAAATGTGACACAAGGCAGTTTGTGATTCTCAACCTTGAATGCACATTAGAATCACTTGGTGACTTTTAAAAAATACTGACGTCCTGGTCTCACCCCAGAGATTGTCTTAATTTGTCTGGGGTGGGACTGGGACAGTGCTGTTTTTAAAAGCTCCCCAGCCGAGTCTAATGTACAGCCAGGGTTCCAGCTCCCATCCAGAGACGATTATTCATGTTTCCATTACCTGGGACAAACCAAGGCATAACAACACTTACTGGTGCTAAAGGCGAGTTTTGCCTGACTGGAACCAGACCACAATCCACTTGTCAAGCATGTTCTTCGAGAAGCAGCAGGCCTAAGGGCTGCAGAGGCAGAAATGCCCCAAGGAATGGCGCTCACATGTCGGGCAACCTGGAAAGAGCGACACTTTATATTAGGAAGTAGTCCCAGCCAGAAGGCTGGCCCTGCTGAAAGGGCATCAGGCCAGTGGTGGCCTCAGCTGTCCTAGTTCCTGTGAACCAAATACCAAACCCAAAACCCTCAGAGCATGGAATGAATCTCCGTGTTCTTAACATTCCCTTCTGCTTCCTCCTCCTTCAGGACTGCAGGGGAGGTGGGTGATGGGGAGATGGATGTTAGTCAAAGGTACAAAGTTGCAATTATGTAGGATGAATACTCTAGAAATCTAATGTACAGGCATATCGACTATACTTAATACTGTATTGAACACTGGGAACATGCTCAGAGAGTAGATTTCCCGTGCACCCATTACACACATAAAAATGCTAACTACATGAAAAGATATGTTAATTAGCATGACTACCGAAATGATTTCATTATGTATATCAAATCATGTTGTACACCTTATATATATATAATTTTTATTTAAAAAATATATAAATAAAAAAAAAAAGACTGCAAGCAGAGGGGAATGATAAGAACAAAGACTCCATGCTCTTAACAGCAATCCGAGGGTTCAAAAACCATGGGCACTTGGCCAGGCCCGGGTATGCAGCCCTTTACCAGCACCATTTGCTGAGCATGTTCTACCACGTCAAGGTTTTCCTCAGACAAGACAAGGCCCTTCCAGCCCCACAGACAAGTAAACAAGTAGAGCAAAGTTCAGCTTCTGGGAAGAGTTTGGACAGGGCTCAAGGGAAATGTTTGCTCAACTTTAGGGTCGAGCATGACTCAGGAAGAAGAAAGAGCCTGCGCTCAACCCGCCACGAGAAAGAGGAGAGTGGGTAGCAAGCGGGTACCAGGCTTTGCCGGGAGAAAATCGAGGGGACAGGCCTGGGGAGGAGGGAGTGCCTTTCGCACGTTAGCACTTTGGTGACTGTAGCACTGTGGTTTCCCTCCAGCATGTAGTGGATGCTCAGAGCAACGCCTTGATGGAGGCATCATTCTTTCTATCCTAAGGTGAGGACAGGAAAACTGAGGTTCGCAGAAGCGAAGTCACTTGTCCAAGGTCATAGAGTTGGTTACAGAACCCGGGCCAGAGCCAAGGTCGCCTGTCTCGAGGGCCAGAACCAGGTGCTTAGGTGGAGAGGGGACTGGGGACCCGCGGCTCGCGGCGAGGAGGGATCGGGGAGGGGACCGCAGAGGGGTGGGGGAGGGCGGTGGAGGAGGTGGCCTGCCGCTCGGTTACCCGCTGGCACCCTCCAAGGAGGGCGAAAGGCCCTCAGGCCGCAGGGGAGCGGGATCCTGTCTGGGAAGCACGTTCCTGGAGCCACCGCAGTGTCCCCGAGCCGGCAGCCACTCACCGAAGCCCGGAGTAACCTTCCCACCGCGGCCGCCATCTTCACTGCGCGCGGGAGCCGCGGGGTCGACGGAGAAGCGGAGGAGGCGGGGCTTACTGGGAGGGCGGGGCCTACGGGGTGGGCGGGGCCTCGGTGGGCGGGGCGGGGCCCGGAGGAGCCTTCCCGCCTTTTGGGGACCCTGGGCCTGTGAACGTCTACTGTTGGGTCCCTCCGCCCTGATTCTGAGGGGAACATTACCATTATGGCTTCTGAGTAGCTGAATACTTGGGAAAACGACACTTTGTCTCTATTTGCAGCCCCAACCTAAAAACAACCTATCCACGCAGTGAGCTAGATATTTATTTCCATATTTGCTGCTGATTTTTTTGTTAATCTGTGTGGATTCCTGTTTCTACTATTTCTGTAAAAGGATCTCTTTCCTATTTCGGTCTCAGATAGAGTCTTCTGGCTTCTGCATGAAATGGAATTATTAATTCAATTTTAGTCTATTAATAAGCTAAGTGGGTCAGACACATCAAGGTTTTGGTGTCCAGAAAACTTTGGGATCGTGTGTGGGCTTCCATTTTGGCCTCTCTTCCCCAAATTGGGAGAATTGGAACAAATTTAAAATTTGTTTTCTGTCGATTAGTAAAGCCAAGTGCTCAGTAGTGAGCATGATCCTTTGAAGCAAGCTCATCAAACACAGATAAAAATCGCACACTGGGCTTACACTAAATGTACAAATTGCAGCCTCTGAGTATTTTCTAAACACCAGTCATTCCAATACCAACTTAGTTCCTTGAGTCTGCATATTATTTACTATTTTCTTTAATTTGACTCACTTTATAAAAACTTAAGTGAATTTATTTGAAAGAAAATGTTAAATAACTAAGATAGAAAAAATTTATAATTTTCTATAAATAGAAAGTAATTTAAAATGAATACATTAAAACAAAATGTTATTCAGTATCAACTAGATACAGTTGCCTGCTGAAAGTCTGAGTCTTTTATTAAAAAGAGAGAATGAGAGGTGGTTGGAGACATCCTAGAATCACGTGAGACTTTGGTGTAATCAGGATTTAAAGACCATTAAAAGGACAATAACTTTCTCACTTTGGGGTTTGATGTTATTTATTTTGCTCCCCACTCCTCCAGCAGTGCATTTCCTAAAATCATCACAGAGACCATTAGGTACAGCCCTGGGTACCAGTCCCATGCTTTGGAAAGGACTGCTTTAGAAGCACAAGGCCACAGGTTTCTTGACCAAGTCCCCTCAGCACCTGCCTTGTGTTTAATTGGTGCTCGTCGTGTGTTTGTTGAACAAATGTTTGAACAGGAAAAGGGATCATAGTGTTGGATCTCAAAATCATACTGTAGTCTATAATGGAAGTTTATTCAGCCATAAAAAGGAATGAAGGATTGATACATATTGTAACATCGATGAACTTCAAAAAAAAGCGTTATGCGAAGTGAAGGAAGCCAGATGCAAAAGCCACATATTATACTATGCCTTTCATATGACATATGTAGACTAGGTAAATTGATAGAAACAGAAAGCAAATTGGTGGCTGGCAAGTGCTGGGGGGCAAGGAGACTGACTGCTTAATGGATATAGGGTTTTCTTTTGCGGTAACGAAAATGTTTTGGAATTAGAGGTGGTGGTTGCACAACATTGTGAATGTACTAAATACTACTGGATTGTCCACTTTAAAATGGTTAATTTTATGTTATGTGAATGTTACCTCAATTTTTAAAAAGAAGAACAAATAGGGAACAACAACAAAAACAAAAATCATGGAGCCAGCCACGTGGCGTAATGGTTGAGTTTAGTATGCTCCACTTCAGCAGCCCATATTCGCTGGTTCAGTTTCCAGGTGCATACCTACACCACTCATTAGCCATGCTGTGGTGGTGACCCACATACAAAATGGAGAAAGAATGCCACAGATGTTAGCTCAGGGCCAGTCTTCCTCAAGCAAAAAGAGGAAGATTGGCAACAGATGTTAGCTCAGGGTGAATCTGCCTCAGCCAAAAAACAAAACAGAAGAAAACAAAAAAACAAAAAGCATGCTGTAGTCTAGCCCAGTGATTATGTACATGAGAAAACTGAGACTTTTAGAGATGGAGAGACTCTCCCAAAGTCATAGAGTATAACCATAGGCCTACTAGGACCGGTTCAACTAACCACATCTTATCAACAGAGTAATTAAGAGTTGTTTTTCAGGATCTGAGAGTTCCCCCTTGTCCAGTTCAGGTGGGTTGAGACCACCAACCCATCAAGTGGGCCTGTGTAAATGCTTGATAAGTGACCTTTTGACGTCAAGGAGCTGAAAACTCCACCCTCAGGTCATGGTGATGCCGCCATTTTGTGAACATGCATCCTATGAAGAGCCATGAAGCTTGACTACGCTTGTGCAGATCATCAGTTACCTCACTTCTCCTACCTCCAATCGTCTATCTCCACACTTCAGACTGCCCTGCCCTTCATCCCATAAATTTTGCCCCAAGCCCTGGATCGACGAGACAGATCTGAGAGCATATGCCTCCTGTCTCCTTGCAGATTGATCTGGCGATAAAGCTGCTTTCTTTTCCCAAAAGCTGCTGCTGTAATAATTGGCTTTTTTAATGCACATTGGGTAGGAGAACCCCACCTTCCAACAATAGCCAGTTGGAAGCAGAGGCAGGACTAGAACCCAGAACCTCCTCATACCTAATGCCAGTATTTGTGGCTGGCTTGGAGTTCAGCCTCGGCACCACTTCACCAGCCATTTTGTAAGATGACATGAGGGACGCTCTAGTCTTCTCATCTTTTCTCTCGTACTACAGGTTTTGTGTTTTTTTTGTTTTTTTTTTTTTGAGGAAGATTGGCCCTGCACTAACATCTGTTGCCAATCTTCCTCTCTTTTTTCTTTTTTCTCCCCACAGGCCAAGTACATAGTTGTGTATCATAGTTGTAGAGTTGTAGCTCTTCTATATGGGACGCCGCCTCAGCACGGCTTGATGAGCGGTGAGCAGGTCCATGCCCAGGATCTGAACCAGCGAACCCAGTGCCACTGAAGCTGAAAGTGTGAACTTAACTGCTATATCATCAGGCCAGCCCCCATACTGCAGGTTTTAGATAGTTAGCTGCCATAGCTTAAGCCAGGAAAAGCCAAGGGGTAGCTATCTCTTTTCGTGTTCCTTAGGCCCATAGCCCTTTGCTGCCTACCCCTTGTTTTCTCCTCATTTTGGAGGGCACCTCCTTCTCTCCCTCCTATTTTATGCACATGTAGTCTAGTCTCCACACATAGGCAGTTTGGTTCATAACTAAACTTCACTGTAATGTACAGCAAGTGCCAGCCAAAGCAACAGGACAGAGTGGAGTCCCTCAGGATTAGCCTTACTCAGCTTGGTTTCAGTTTTAAAGATTAGATACTTCAGTTAGTCCTGACTTGTTGGCTGGGGCCTCTTTAGGCTGAAAGGTGAGTTTACTTTCTGTTTTCCATTTAGCCCACGCCCCTCCTGCAGCCTTTCAGTTATTTCAGTTACTGAAATTTCAGGTGCATCCTCCCCGCCCCAGCCCATTTTAGCCTCTGGAGTCATGCATTCCTTTCCTATTTAGGTCCCAGGTACAGCCTACTGGGGTTGGATGAATGTGCATCAATTATCAACGTGATTTGAATCAGTTAATAAGCATATATTGAGTGGATCATGCAAGCAGTGCTTCTAAGGAACTCCGTGTGTATTCAGAGAGTAATGACAAAATCATAAAAAAAACAAAATCCAAGATCCAACATTTTTTTTTATTGATGTTTTAATGGTTTCTAACATTGTGAAATTTTGGGTTGTACATTTTTGTTTGTCCATCACCACATATATGACTCCCTTCACCCCTTGTGCCCACCCC